CGCACCGATTTAGCGTCTCGGATTCATCGTACTTTCCTTGGAGTTGCAGCACCCAAGCTAGGTTTTTGGCATTTGCGAGGGTGTCTGGGTGGTCTGGTCCAAGAACTTTCTCATACCCCTCCAATGCACGCCGATTCATCGCCTCTGATTCATCGTACTTTCCTTGGTATTCCAGAGCCAGAGCTAGATTCATGGCACTAGTTAGGGTGTCTTGGTGGTCAGGTCCAAGAACCCGCCCACGCACCTCGAGTGCATGAAGATTCATGGTTTCTGATTCATCGTATTTTCCGAGATCAATCATCACCCTTGCCAGGTAGGATAAGCACTCCAAGGTGGCAGAGCTTTCTTGACCCAATGACCTCTCTAGATCCTCCAACACATTCCGAAGTATCTCCTCTGCCTCCTTTGCCTTCCCTTGCTGTGCGCTCACCCGCCCTAGGAACATAAATCTGCTACAACATTTATCCAAGCCTTGCTCCTTATTTTCCTCGAGAAATGTGATACATCGCCGGATTTGCATTTCTGCATTGTTGTAGGAACCCAAATGTAGAAAATACTCCGCCATACGAAAACAAAGATCTTCAGCAATAGTATCTATTGTACCTTTGGTTACCGCAAGTGCATGTGGGATAAATGCCTCACAAATATCCCGTAGCTCATGCTTATATTTAGGGAACATTCGGGAAAGCAGCCCTAGTGCGGTGGAACTCCATTTATCCAACTCTTCTGGTGACAAATAGGCATGTATCGATAGCTGGATTAAGCGATGAAGCTCATAGAAGGTCTTATCTTCACGCTTGGTGATGGTAACCAATGAGAATCCCACCAGTTTAGCGATCGCCCGACGAAATTGAATCGAACCATCCAGCCCTTCCACGCCACATTCTCGCAGTAGCTGCTCGGGTATATTTTGACGATCAAGGAAAGCAATTAGCCGCAGGAGGTGCCCTGCTGTCGGCATCTGTTTCGTGATTCGGTCAAAGGTGATGAAGTATGTGCCCAAAATACTTTCTGTCATATCAGACTCACGCCGGATATCGCTAAACTGCTCTAAAAGCAGCTCCTTCATCTGCTTATCGTTCTCCTGGAAAAGGGACCAGTACTCGGAGGGTGGTGTTCCCGTCTCGACCATGAAGGCTGCTGCACCCACGACAGCCAATGGCAAGTGATCCACCGACCCCAGGATCATCGCAACTACCTCTCCTTCCTTATCTCTCAATCCACCCCAGCCGCCAAAGTGTTTCGAAAATAGTGCTTGAGCCTCCTCCTCCTCCATTTTTCCGACATCGATCCTCTCACACTCCTGGCGAAATGCAACCTGGCGAGATCTGGTCGTGAATATCAGAGTGCCTCTGGGTCCTTGTGGTACGAGCTTAGCAATAGGACTGTTGTTACCAGCAAAGTCCTCCTCGTTGTCGGCGTTGTCGATAACTAGAACCCAATCACCACTTTCTGGACCTTCAAACCACCTCTTTATGCTTAACAAGAATCCCTCTTCTTCCGTCTCGGCGCTCGCTAGAGGAATTTGAACGCGCTGCGCAATAGCCCCAAAACCCTCCCTGAACCGTAATACCCCACTTCCTTGCACCCAGAAGATATTACAATCGCTCTCGCTGGCGCGCTGATAAACGTATTCGAGGGCAATCTGGGTTTTCCTAAGCAATGTTAGTAAACACTTTTACACGGAAGCAATCTGGGACTTGAAGAACACTTGGAGGATGGCTCTTTTGATATATGGTGCGAGGATTTTAAAGAGCGTGAGGATTTATATTTGATAATATCGTAAAGAGAGTAGTATAGATAACGAGAAGAAGATAAAAGGAGAGTGGTTAATCATGAGGAAATAATAGCGAACAAAAGAGAACTTATAAAGACAATACCATAAGTTCTAGATCCTTCATGATGAATACGTGCTTCATCCTTCCAAACAAACTAGCAGGGAAAACTCTTCACCAAACAGACTAGCAAGGAAAACTCTTCACCTCGCTAACAATACCGAACAGATGAATCCTCCTCCGTTTCAGGACTTTCTGCCATACTCCCATGAGACACCATGATAACCTTAGTGCCTGCACTAATGTTTCATGGCTGAAGCATGCCGCACAGTATCAGACTCAGATACATCCAACAAACACTTTGGATACCGAATTAATCAGGACATACCCAGAACCGCCTAATCCATGAAGAGCAATCCGGTTGTGGCCATCAGGCTTGCAAAGCCTCTTCAGTGAGTCAATGAGAGATTCACGGCCGGTGAATCTGCTATTCCTACTGTAGGGAATTATCCGATAAGGCCTAGATGCTTCTTGTGGTCATAGTAGCACGTTAGCTCTCTGCCGGAAAGCTCTCGATAATTCTGACAGTACCTCGGTCCCCATATCTAAACATACATCCTTGATATATTGTTCCGAGATTGGTGGCACTGTTCAGGTAACCGAGATTTAGGTTGTTGTTGTTATTGTTCCCAGTACCAGCGACGTTATAATCCCCTGAGTTTCCGCTGAATTCCCCGCTGATATCGGCTCGGATTCTACTGTGAATATCCTTAGATGGGCAATTTCTTTTTTTTAACTACGCAAACACTAAAGGGGGGTGAACCTACTCATCCATCGTATTTTCGGCTCACCCTCGGGCTGCTTTTGAGGAGTGGGTACGCAAGGGAAAAGATCTCGCTAGGGTGACTGAAGCGGAAAGTGTAGCCTAATTGCCGCTTGTGAAGGCTAGTTCCTAATCGTTTACCGAGGACCCGAAACAAGTCAATCACCGAGATACTCGAGTATCGTATGGTAGAACGAGCAGTCGCGGACGCGACCTTGGATCTGGAACTTCTTGGTTCTGTAGTTTTCAGGCAGATGTTGGATAACCGCAGCTAGACCGATGCTATCATACTTCAGTTGAGGCTGAGGGGTTGAGAGATAGAGTCCCATGGCTGTGGGAAAGGTTGAGATTTACCCTACCGAAGTCCGAAGTCTTCCGAGCCGGGGGTGAGAAAAAGCGGGGGAAAGAAAACAACACTGTGTTCTGTGCTAAAGCTATTTGATTCGCTCCAAGTTTCAGCAATGTAATTTGTTTAACATGGGGTCACATTTGGGTAGTGCCCGGTGATTGGTACATGCCTTTCCCCCGCATGGGGAACATGAGATGACAACGACCACTCCCAGATGGTGAAAATTTTCCTCCGTCATAGTACCTGTGCTTTTTAGAATACTCCACCAGCCGACTTTTCTACAGAATATGCCTTTAACCCTATTAAATGATGCCGATATCCAAATTCTGGTAGGTTGTCAGCCTATCCTTGGGAGGGGCCCTGGCCTACCATCTTCTTCCTTTCTCGGTAAAAGGATGCCCTCTCTTCAAGGTAAATCGCTCTCATGATCTTGCCCGAAATCGACCAAGACACCGAGCCCGGGCAGCGAAAGCCGGCACACTACAAGGACTCCTTTACCGTGCCGTTGATAATGCCGTGACATCTGTGAAAGGTTCCGCACTTGCATCAGCCTGAATATGCACGGTGGGCTATTCGAGGTGAATTTCCAATCCAAATGACACGGGAGGAGCACTGAATTCCTCTAGCGGCTAACGCTAAGAAATAGTAAGCGAGTTGCATGCGGTCATACTGTTGCCCGAACCCCACTTCCACTCACCATCTGTCACCTCCCTTATGCATCCTGAGGTTGTAGCAGGGGCAGTAAAGGGTCTTGTACTCGAGTATAAGAACTTAGAGTTTCTAGAAAAAAATCCGCGATTTGGCCGTAGAAATAACCCTAAGTGGGATATGATTTCCATGGAATCGGCTTCCCCCGTAGCTTGTACATTCTGCGCTTCGATAGCCCATTTACTGGAATAATTACAGCTTAAGCTGGAAGGCTGTAGTTTCCTCCTCCCGTACGGTGCGGCACTGTTTACCTTTTGCTTAATTCAGGGTGGGGGTGAGGTGTGGAGAGCGTCGCCCAGGAGCTGCTTTGTTGGCTAATCGTGCGCGACTTACTCTCCTTCCGGGCCTTTCGAATCTAAATCAAGTGGGCACGATACCGGTAGCACAGATTTTTAGAAAACCTAAGGGTAGTTTGATGTTCCGCGATTGAGATTTCAAAGCACGGTTTCTATCTGAAATCGGATATTAAACCTTAACCGGGTACCGGTATGTGGTTAGGAGATACCGTATATAGATATTGGGCACAGGTATGCGGCTTTGTGATGCGCGGCGAGTAAGCAGAGGCAGGTGTCATAGTTTGGTGGCTTTCATATCCTATACTGGTTACACAGAGGGTAAAGGTTTTTTGTTTCGTTGAGACGCGTTGCTATTGAGCTGTTACCGAGGAGCAGGGGGTATTCGAAGAATTCTAAATTGTTGGGGGATCGCCGAGGCTCATTATTTGTAAGGAGGGGGTATTTCTTCAGAATTTGCGGAGCCTGTTTTAGTTTCCAGACATGTTAGCTGTTTGGAGATATATACCCCCCTCTCCGGTTTACTGCTTCATTCTTTAGTGTCTTTCTTTAGGTTTTATCAACATTATGAGGATCCTAAAAACTGATGCTGAGATCTAGCCGAAATAACCTGTCCTAATCCTATTACGCGGATATGGAGATGGGAGGCCGGACAGCGGGGAATATGGGCAGGCTGAAGCTTATTGCCATCATAGGAAATGAGAAAACCATCTCGGCATAGAAATTGCTCAGGCGGGCAAGAAGATTTGATACCTCTAATCCCCTGCTGTGCGTTCACTGACGCCCATACCCGAGTGGAATAGGATGACAGCGGATTCCGCTACTGCACTGGCGGATTGGAGTACGGGGAGATGGTCTCACCGGGAGACCTCCCGGGAGACAGGATCCAAGATTGATTCGTACTGTTCCAGAAATCAGAGTCGCCCATGAAAACCAAGCCGCGAGAGGCAACGAATTCTGACAGAGTAGGGAAAGGCCTAAATAGCAAAGTCGCACTCAATTTTGAAAAAAACGCGAAGTAAACCAAAGGGAAAGGTGCACTATGCTAAAATGCAGTTCCGCGCCCCATTAATTAGTTTTCATCTATTACTTAAATGCACCGTTAGGGATGGAATGGGAATATTTTTTATTTCAGGCAAGTTTAGAATTTTTTTTGTTTATAAATAAGGAGATTTCTATAGTTTTGAGTTCTTTAGCGGAAGCTCAAAATACAACCTTTCGGGACCTAATTTGCATTCCTCAATATCGCGCCCCACCGAGATAGTGCATTAGCAGACACATTTTGTTCCACCCGAGGTGGTAACGGAGGATAGGCCTAGTTTGATAAGTCAACGGTTCACAAATACCTGTTCATAAAATTCAACGCCTCATAAGGGCCAATCTTGTTCTCTCGTAGCAAGGCGGTAATTCATTCTAAGAGCCTTTTACCTGTGTGCCAGGAGATTATAGGATTTAGGAGATAGTATATTTCACAATATTTTAAGGTATAAGAGCAAGAGATAGGGCACACTCCTTACTTCCATTGGGAGTTACTGCTGGGTGAAGGAAAATGAACATAGAAATTGGTGGCCGCTCTTATACTGTACAAGTAGGAGGCATGCCCCACCTTCCTTCTATGATATCAATAAAGTCAAGTTGTTACAACATGTTCGTAACCCTGCTAACCACATGATTCTGGTTCGCTCGAAAACGTATTCCCCCACTGCATAGCAGTATGGAGGGTAGTGCAACAGTCGGAAGGTAGGGAAGCGAGGTGGTAGGTCCGCCAAATCATGGGCGCATGGTATGTCCTGTACTACATCACGAGTGATGTTATACGGCACCTAGGAGGGGAGATAATACGAGGTCACGAACAATGTAGTTTTCCTCACCTCAGTTTAGCAGAGTAATGGACCTGGAAACGAAAGCAAGCGCCGGAATCCAACAGTCTGCTAAATTCACCAAGAGGCACATGAAGTAAACACACAAACAATAGTCATTCCCCCTGTCGCGATCATATCATGGCCGCATTTCCATATTCCCGCTCGGTATTTGCCATTCGCTAACATTGATTCCATACGCCATTGTTCCTTCAGTAATAATATCAAAGGTACTCCACATCTTCATTTTATTCTGTGACAGAGCCACTCAAATCTTTCGGCATATTAACGACCTGTCCCTCGTGACCTGGCTGCATCTCCGGAGCTGGAATTGCTTCTCTGGTAGACCAACGCCGTTAGCGTTCTAATGCGCACCAACGAGTGAGGTGTTATCATCACGGGTTATTAAATAATCTCGGACAAATCCGCTAGTAGGGTTCTCGGATTACCTCCATTTCTTATATGGGAACGCCGGACACCCAGGTGTTTCACAGGCTTCAGTGTACCCCCGGAGTGCTTTCAACAGCTAAGTTCGCGGGCAGCAGTTCTATAGGTAGACTTGAAAATCTGGCTAAAAGTAAGATTGTATAATAGAACGGGAAAGAGATATCTGGTATGAGAAGAATCTCACGAGGAGAGAAATAAAGAAAGTTAGGAGCCACGGTAATATGGGCAAGGAGAGGATAAAGATAGGCGAACTGATTTAAACAGAAAAGTAAGTAGCGAGAAATGGGCCCTTTTTGTCCTTCGCCGGGCATGGCCTGACTTTCAGAGTTCTTTAGATTCGGCCTCTCTATCCCAGCACGCAACACCCCCACCATCGCAGGATTTGCGGTTCATCTAAATTATTGCCACGGACGTGGAGGATCGAGCCAAAGAGGGGGATGTTGGCAACAACACGGGCGAGGATAAGACCGCTGTCGCGCCGGTTAAAGTTTTTTGCGTAGAAGAACTTAGGACAAGGATAGGGTATGGCCGAGGTGGAAAGAGCGGGTGGGTTGAGTGCACGAGGTACATTACTACAATGGACCGATGTCGGGTGTCAGTGTAGGATACTGGCGATGGATAAACGGCCCAGTAAGTTAGGTGGCGTGCCACATTATCTAGTGAGAATCGTCAGACACCGGCACCTTCAAATAATATTTTCATCCTTGCGTTGTCGCGACAACGCAAGAAAGCGCCATATCCAACTCCTGACAGCGAGGGCCAACTTGAATCCTTCTGCGGCTCTGCCTTTGACACAATTGCAAGCCCTACCACAGGCGCTTCGTATTTCGACGTAAAGGCATCTGCCGGTTCTCGCCAGTGAATGCGGTACGGCAGTGAAGTCACAGGTCGGTGGTGCCTAGGAGTCGTGCGTTCAGTAAAGGGGGAAAAGGGGGAAAAGTGTGCGATGCTCTCTAGGTAACTTACCGGGACATATAAGCGATGAGTAAAGTACTCGTACTCGAGTACAGTACGGTACTCGATAAGGTCAGGGTACCCGGTTATCGAGAAAGGAAGCGGGTGATAAGCCAGAGACTCCTTCAAGGATGGGCCGAATTACTCTACCGGTACCGGTAATCCTATATCGCTATTAGTTAATAAGTTAGGTTCAAAAGTATATAAATTATACCCTGTGAAGAAGCAGGTGATGTAGTTTTTTTTAAAATGCACGGCTGGGGTAGGATGGGGGAAAATTTTCGCTATCCTAAAGTCATTGTCGCATCATGTCTCGTATGCCGTGGCAAGTCATGCACCAGCCACTAGCCACAACCCAAACTGTGATCACAAGTTAAGCCAATTACATTACCCACCCGTAAAGCAAGCCACATAGTGCAGAACACCGAGGTGTTTGCTTTTGCCCAGCCTGTTCTCAGCCTGGGCGGGGAAGGCTTCTATCATCGGGGGAGCAGGTTTCAACCTTCCCCACTGTCCTAAGGCGTGGTCTCTCTACTGTAACGTCTACACAGCCGACCGCTCGGCCTCCACTAAAGCAGTATCGCCCAGGCTACGAGTACACCTCACAGCTGCCTCAAAATTGCAGAATCAAGAACCTCCATATCTTAG